CGAGTCTGAGCATTAGGCAGGCTTACCTGAAATGTAATAATCCATATACCAAAAAGGAGTAATAAAGTCCAGCTTTGTAGCCTTTCTGTGGAGGTTCTCCCCCTAACTCACCCTGTTCCTTCATATATTCACTGCTCACTTAATGTTACCCGTGGGATGAGGGTGGGAGGGGGAAGCTTGTTCTCTTTCATGTGACTGCAGCACAGTTAATAATTGTACCAGACTTCAGGCGCTCGCGTGACCAAAGGGACTGATTGGATTCTGAAGCGGACAGAAGTTTTTTCAGGCACATCTTCATGCCTCAGCATCCCAGCAGAGCAGAGAAGGAGCTAGATCTGCTTTCTCCGTGATTGCTCATTTGTTACGAGCTGGCTAGCATATAACATGTGAGACAAAGGCCGCGCTGGCCTGAAAAGCCTCCCCAAAAAAGCCAGTATAGTAAATACACCTGTAAAATGGTGTGCAAGTTACAGATCTCACGCGTGTCATGTGCTCTTGCTTGCTCTATCTCTCCCCATACTGCCTTAAAATAGGGATGGCAAAATAGTTTGATAAAATGCATCAAGTGCTATACTGTTGATATGATTTTTCTCAAGCACATGTTTCCAACACTTCAATCTTTCATGGGCTGCATACTTGCTGCGGGAGTGGAAGAGGATGTTGCAGGCTTACTTTCAGTGTACTTGGAAATCTTTCCCACAGAAACTCCCCAGAAAACATATGAAATGATGGCCTGGAAACCAGGAAGTTCCTGATGCCTAACACTCATTGCTCTGAGGGATTTACTGTGCTCTGGAGGTCATGTAATAGTCTTTCTTCTTTGTTGGTTTCTCTTAAGTTTTATACGTGACGGCCGAGTAGGTGTGTGTTGCTGAGCTTTTAGGGGCCCTTGTTTCTGTAGCATAGTTTTGCCTCTGGTTCTTTTTTACCAACACTCTCATGATTAATATGTCTGCTGTTTAAAATGGCTACTGAACCACCACCAAGTTCTTACACCTGGTTACCAACTGCTTAACCCCTGTCAGAACCCACCCAGCACATCTTTTGAGTTGATGCTTTTGTTGCTTGGCAGATACGTTTCTGATCTTTGGTCTGTCCATTAACCCTGTGAATACTGTACACAATGAAGACATAAATCTGCTGTGGTGATGATGGTACGTCGTGATGCAGTATCACTGCTGCTGCTCCCACATTGCACTCTGGTTAGATTAGCGTGACATGCAGTCTTCTGGGCATGTGGTTCTGGGTTTGGGCTTTTTGCTTTGTTTTCCCACCCCTTTACCGCTCTGTGTAGTTTTGGGTTTTTGCGAGGAGCTGCAGAAGTTGGTAATGTAGAAGAGCAGCAACAGAGACAGGAAGTCTGGCACTTGAGGGCTGATGGTCCTGTTGAGTTGGTAGGGAAGATCCAGCAATCTACAGAAATTGTGCATCCAGTTTCAGTCTGTGATGGAGTCCTCTGGCGTCTCCTTTCCATGTGCCTATGTTTGTGCTGGGGTGCGATGGAGCATGAAAGGAGTCGGAGAAGAGAAGGGTTGGAGCTTGGGTTTCGTTGCCAAAATTTAAACCAACCAACAAACAAACTCAACCAAAAGGAGAGTTATCCGGAACATACCACAGAACAGGTTAGGCAGGGCACTGAACCCAGATAAGAACCTTCTCCGTGCTTTAAGGCATCTTCAGTACACCCTCCTCCCTCTATCCTTTCAGGGTTTCCCCCCCATTCCTCCCCACTATGAGATAGTCCTGTGCCGACTGGGTTTGAAGGGGGGCAGGAGGATGGTTGCAGTGCTTGCTTGCCTGCTGCCAGCTGTCTTAAGAAATAGAGGGTGCACTTGTCCGTGCCCATCATCCCGTCGCAGAGGCAGGACTCAGTGTGGCATGTGCCTGTGTGCATGCCTTTATGGCCTCCGCTGTGTTGCCTTGCGAGCAGTCCCATCCCCAGAAAGTATCAGGGGAGGAAGAGCAGCAAGGAGACAGGGAATGCTGGCGGGTGGAGCTTGGAGGGCTGATCCTCCCCATAGTTAATCATTGCTTGCAGCATAACCTGTTCCTGTTTTCTAGAGGTTTCACTGGCACCCGCAGTGAGCAGCATATGAGGAGTATGTGACAAGCTGCTTTCCAAGCAGGATGGTTTGCCTTGCAGCAGGAAGCCCAGAGTCTTAATACAAGACATCGTTTCTTCTGTAACATGTTTATGCCCAATCCTTCAGTAAACATACCATATATAGTCTGGATTGTGCTCGCTATAACACCCTGCTGCAAGGCGACTTTGCTAGTACCACACAGATTCCTTAGCTCCTGGTAACCGGCTGACAAATAGGATGTTGCCATATGTAACATAAATATTCCACACAACTGGGGTCTTTTACACCCTGCTCCTAGTGCATAAAGCACGTGTTTCTGATCATGACATGTCTGGCACTTGGAAAATGAAGAGTCTTCTACAAAGCAATGTCCCATAGGTGCATTTTTGTTGCAGAATAAGGATTCCACTCTTTTCATAAACAACAGATGAAGCTCGCACTTATGCATCAGTGTTTCGGTGACTTTTCTTTTTTTTTTCCTTCTTTTTATTCCTCTCTCCACTTTTAATGCCAGTTGCCTCTTAGGTCCCGAGCTAGGGCTATGATTCACTGGGAATTTTCTCTTTTCATGTAGCATTGTTTGTAGAACTTCTTCTTTCCTGTTTCTCTGCCTTCTTTTTGTTTACACCATGCTAGCAGGGTGCTGAGCATGGCAGAGGATGTGAGCAGCAGCGCTGTGGCTGGATTCATAGCTTTCTTAATCAGCTGTTACATATTGTTTGCCTTCAGCTTCTTTCTTTCATTTCACACCATGAAATGACTTCAGTAACATTCTGGTTCTTTATTAGAGATTCCTTCACAGATTCTGTGCTAGCAGAAGTGGCTTCAGAGAAGGAGATGGAATCTGCCTGCCTGGGCTGGGCTGGGGTATTCTTGCCTTTTTGTGCCTTCTACTTCTTGCCCTTGGTGTGTGAGAAGACACCGCAGTGGTGTGGACCCCGGATAACCTTGCACAAAGCTTTCTGGCTGTCTGCTTGGTGAATTGCTGTTAGCTCCTGGATCCAGCAGTTTAACTACTGGCAATGACTCCTGTACCACTGAGGTAGTTGCTTAATCAGAGAGGGTGCTGGTTAGATGTAGATTCATAGAGATGGGTTTTCCTTTAGCGACTTGTTCCTTAGTTAGGCAATGCTTCCCTAAGGGAAGACTTTGCAGGGGGGAATGTTTGGGCGTTACGTAAATGGACGGGACATGCATTTCTCTGACTTGTCTCTCATTGGCCTCGTCAGAGTGAATTATGTCTGACTGCTTGGCAGTTAATTGGACCATCCTTCCCATTTCCTAAGCTGATAAGCCCCTCGCTGTCTGCCTCAATCAGGCTTCTTTGTTTGAGAAGTTACTAATGCTGCAGCAGAACAGAGTAACTACTTTCCTATGTACTGTAACCAAGTAAGGTGCTGTGATCACTAAGTCTATGAAGATTCATCGTATTTCTGCAGCAAAATCCTTTCACGAGATTTGTACCATCACACCAGTAGCAGTCGGCAGAAAAGGCACTGAAAAGTAGGTGTACTTAATACGCCTCATCCCTTTTTGAAAGAATTACATTTGTGTTTGTTATCTTGAGAGCAGCTTTATTCTGGCAGATCCTTGTAGCTGTGCAGAGTACCACGGGTGTCTGTAGTTGTCGGCCCATCAGGCTTGGGTCTCGAAAATGGCTCCCATTTACCACAAAGCCTTCAGACTGGGACTGTCTTTCTTGATGTGTCTGGATGGTGCCTAGCTTAAAGTGGGTGTTGCCAGAAGGTGAGTAATAAATGATGATTAACCGTCTCTGAGCTATGGATGAGTTTGTATGAAAAAGCACTTGGCTAAAGGCTGTGCTTCAACAAGCTCATCAAAATTAACCATGCAGGAGACAGTAGCGCAGCATCTTAAAGGCCTGATTCTCCTGTCTCTTGTCTAGTTTTGTTTTGTCTTCTGTGGATTTACTACATCTGATTGGTGGAGAAACGTGGGTTCCTTCATCTCCAGTGTTAAATGGTATCAGTATTAGAGATTGCAAATGGGCTGAGTGATACAGAATTGTATGCACTAAAAGTAAACACCCTTTCGTTAGATTGCTCAGTAATCTTTTTAGTGCAAAGGTGTGGTTATGAACCTTGCAGGTATGCATCCTTGTGTTAGCACCAATGAGTCTATAATACGAATGTGTTGGAAAGATGCAAAGGTACTGATTCCTGTGTTAATTATATCTTGAGGTTGAAAAGTAATTTTATTCCACCATTTGTCCTTTGCTGTCAAATCTGTAAATAAATAGAAGTAGAAAACCTAAAGCCATAATGATTTTTAAAATTATATACCCTCTGAGTTTGCATACTGATTTGACCAGTGCATTGCATTTGTTTGATCATACAGTTATTTCTAAAACCTTTTGAAAAGTAGGGTTCATCACAGAAATCTTCCTTCTCTCCCCATCCTTAGGCTATTTCTGGCAGCTTTCAGGGCCCTGAGCACACAAAGGGAGTACTGGAGGATTTTCTTCTTGCACAAAAATCAGAAGGAGTGGGCTTTTTTGTTCTTAAAAGGCTTTCCAAAATGGAGTTTGTCTTGACTTAGGCATAGAGGATGTTGCGTATGCAAAGAAAATAAATGCATATCACATTATGCGCCTACATTTGTAGGTACACTTTGACCTCGGGAAGTGACCACTGATTTATTCTTCATTGTACTTCCAAGTTGGTGGTGTTGAGCCCCAGGATGTGGCATCACTGGAGGAGGAGGAGAGAACATGGATGCTGTTGAGTTCAAGCTGCTGTTAGTGGCGTTCAGCCGTTATTTGTTTATATTTGTTTGTTATGTCTGGGAGACAGAGGAACTCCAGTGAGCTGAACAGGGGCCTGCCAGTAGGGCAGGGTCTGGTGGAGAGGCTGAGAGAGGCAACTACCATGGGTGGCCGAATTGCTGTCCCTTCCTCCTGAGTTGTCAGCAGTCGTTGAACCCCAGACAGGTAGCTGATGGCTTTTCATCGTCTGCCTTATTTTATTAGCATTGTTACTGCCTGACATTGAAGGTGATGGGTGGAGAATTTGCATTTGGATTTTAAAGTTTGTAGAAGAGTGTTTGTACTCTGTATCTTCTCTGAACCTTACCCAGACTGGTTCAAGACCAGCTAGCAGCCACTGATTGAAAGGCCTTGCCATCTACCATGCAATCAAGTGGGCTTCAGCCTTTCTGAGTGGAGGCGGTGAGCGAAGAGGGGGAGGAGGTGTCCGTGTCTTAAAAGAAGAGTTGAAAACTGGGGAAAAGGCAACTGCTCGCTATAAGGTTCTTGGAAAGAAACATGCTGTGTATGTAGTAGTTAAGGTGAATTGCACTCTGCATGCATGGTAGCACTCTTACATGGCTTATGGGAGAGCAGCTTGGTAGGTTGCCGTGGAGCCTTAGCGACTGAATGGAGGAAAGCAGGAAGCACCTTGATTTCCCTGAAAGAGGTAAGGGAAATATCAGGGATGGAGAAGTTTAGGAAGTGTTTAGCCTCAAAATTAGGGCAGCTTGAAAATGAATTAACTGCTGGGCCTGTAGCAATCTGTGTGTTCATGTATGTATAGGACCTTAAGCACAGAAAGGTTTGGGGTGAGTCTGGAAAGGGTCCATGTTTAAGGAATGTAGTTCTTCTGGCTTCCGAGATAGCTTTTTGTGTAGACAGCATGGAAAACAATTACAAAAACAAGTATTGCAAGACACTTAATGAGATGGGAAACTGGCAGTGCTAAGGTTGTGGTTCTTGAGCTCGAGTGATTGTGAGAGAATTACAGTTTTTTGATGCTTCCTTTTTCCAGGCAAGCATTTTCTTTCTTGTGAACAACCACGAGTGGAGTTTATCCTCTGGGCTTAAAGTCAGTAACCCCAAAAATGCATTGAAAATCTCTCCTGACTTTTGAAATGAGGGGCTATGACAGCAACTGAACTCGAGGAAGAAAATACACATTAATGTTTGCTGGCAGTTCCACTAGTGTAGTCTGAGACTTACTCTGCTGAGATGTCAGACTGTCCTCTTCCCCCATTTTGGAGCAGGGGTTCCTGGGCCTGAGCATACCGGTTTTTAGAAAACATAGCTTCCTAATTTCCAGATATACCGGGAGAGTCATCAGGGACAGAAAAGGAGGGAGAAAGTCAGAGGTTCCTCTGCATTAAAAAAGCTGGGCTGCCAGGAGGGTTTTCAATTGGAGATCACCAGGCAGCTTTGTTAGGGGTCCTTTCTTTTGCAGGCAGCTCTACCAAGCTTTGTGCTGAAACACTACATCAGGTGTTTAGCTTCAGGCCACATTTGTTTGGGTTGAAAGAAAAATAAGTAGTAAATCTCCATCCATTTCTAAGAATGCAGCTAATGAAGAAGGAACTTCTGGGTCATTTTTTTTCTTCTTTCCAATAAAAAAATCACAACAAACCTAGAATTCCTAAAAAAGAACGGAGAGAGTCCAACTGGTTCTTCTCAAAGCTGTAATGCAGGGGCATTGAGACTTGGGAAGGGCGAAGCGAGTGGTGGGAGATTGCAGTTGTAGCTATTGACTGAATAACCTAGCTATTGATTATCATAGCTGATAATCATTGGCAATGATGATTTCTCCAGTGCATTCTGCTCTTAATGTCTGTTGCTGTATGGATGGTGAAAGGGGCTGTGCATGACTCAGTGAAAGCCCAGCATCCTGAAGTCCCTCTTACTCCAGACCAGGGTTAGTTAGTTCAGCTCTGTCAGTACTGAAGTTGGCAGCCTAGAGCCACATCTTGAAGTAGCAGTTCAGTGATCTTGTGTACCTCTACTTGTCTGCTCTTCCAACTGCAAAATACATGTGAGGGATGTGTGCCTGTTTCTTCTGGACTATGATGTGCAGGTATAGGTAGAGAATGTCTTTCTGGTTGAGGGGTTTGTCAGCCTAAGATGAAAACACTGTTCTTGTGAATGTGCTTTACTTTGTAGGCACTTCTGTTCCATATGGAGTAAGGGTACTTTGGAGGTTGTCTGACAGGATTTGCACACCTTGCCAAACATGCTGGTTTCCCAAGTAAAAACAAAGTCCCAGAAGCTGGTAAATACCTGTGCATGTGATGCAAACAAACTTCCTGATGCAGGGGCTACATAGCAGTCCCTTGCAGACCACAGCTTGCACTGGGACCTTTTTAGCTTCTGTTGAAAGCTATGGGGTCTCTTCCATAGAATACGCCTGGTGGTATCAATTTATTAGCTGGACTGAGGCCTTGATTTGTAATGAGCCCTGAAGTGTAATTTGCAATAGTCGCCTGACTCTATCTTACTAAGCTGCAGTGGGTACAAGGGGGAAACATATCGAGGCTGGAGTAATATTTACCTTCGCTTCCAGTCAGGAGGAGTACCTAGAGCAAAAAAAAAGTGCCACACCTAGGATCTCTGGAGATGGTTTTCCTGGGAACTTGGGCCGCAGAGAGCAAAATACCCCTGATGCTGTATATGCAGGGCAAAGGTGGCTGCTGTCTTTAAAAATACACATGTGAAAATTGAACTGGAAGTTACTGCAAAGCTGAATTTGCAGGTATCACAGCAAGGAAATGTATAGAAACCAGATCTGAGAGGTTGTACAACAGTGAGTATCTCAGGGTACTCCCTGACAGTTCTCATTTGCTTTGCTGAAGTGTTAAATCCTTAGTTATGGGTGGTAATTAATGAATTACTTTAGGCTTTTGTTTTGATTATAGGCAATGTGTGTATGTAATATGTATTTTAATATGCATTTGAAAACTGCTTTTTTTCTTGGTCATGGAAGGGGAGACTGTGGGAAGAGCATTTTAAGTTCTTTGAGAAGACATTTGATTGAAGTAATTTATTCCTGTTAAACACTCCAGAGCAATACTGAATAGCTGTGTCCCCCTCAATTTTGACAGACTCCTCAAGAGGAAAATCCTTTCTTGGTTTGTTTTCCAAGAGAGAAAAACCTGAATTTCCAAGTGGATTAAACAGTTTAGCAATCCCTATTCCATTTCTTGCAAGCTTCCCCCTCCCCACCCCAAGCCAAATCACTCTTCCCCTCTGCTCTTGTCCACAGATTTACTATTCAGCTAATTTTAGAGGTGGGTTTAGGTGTTTGTTTTAAAAACACTGCAGTGTCTGTCTCTGGTAATCCACCAGGTGGAAGCAGATGTGTAGAATATCTGTACATGTATTTGTAAATCTGAATTTGAGCAGAGGGTGTTTCTAAGGAGGGCAGTGTATGTGCAAAGGTGAGGGAACCCTCAGCAGTATAATGCCATGAGTAAAGCAGAAATTTGCAGTTAACCACCAGCTGGATTCGTTGGTGGTTTTTGTTCATGTGGTGGGCCCTGTGACATTGTATTAGCCAATTCCTCTGATGTATGGTTAGAGACCAGTTGCCTGGCTGTTCTGAATTACAGCAGGGAGAAGGCTACCGGGGAGGGGATGGGGAGAATAAGATAGGAAGTGGTTTCTTGGAGATGGGTGCTCTTCTGCTAACAGAAGTTTTGGTCTATCAGCCTTCAATGTGCTTTTCTGACCTGCAAGCTTGTTCGTACCTTACTGATGTCTTCCCTCCTGCCTGCATTCCCATCAACTGCCTATCATCCCTGTGCCTCTCTGCTCTTGCAGAAAAATAGCTTCTTTGAAGTTTGGGGGTTATCCCTTTTGTATTGAAGTTTGGGGGTTATCCCTTTTGTATTGAAGTTTGGGGATTATCCCTCCCTTTTGTATTCAGCCCTTACAACAATTTTGGTCTGAGTCCATCTTTGTCTGAAATATGCTAAAAGAGCTAGATTTTTATTCAGCTTGGTTGAGGGATGGGTGGAGTCCACGTGGTGTCAAACAGGAGGCTTGAGGTAGCTCTGAGGGACCTCCTGAAAGCATCCCTCCGTCCTGCAAATGCTCATGGTCTCTTAAAGGGAGTAATTTGGAAAGGGGCTGTGCTATACAGATTTGCACTGCCTGCTCCATTTCATGCAACAGAAATGCTGTGGCTGTGCACTGCTGCAGGATTTTGTGCTGTCCGTTTACAGTTTTTTGTCATCTCTCCACTGACCTGTTGCACTAAAATTAATGTCACACTGCCTGACAAACTGTGCTCTTAATAACTTAAGCTTTGCTTGCAGGGCAAAGCTAGGGCAGTAAGACATGTTGAATATGCACTGGCTTAAATTATTTCCTTACTGACTTGTCCTCTTTGAGCTTTGCTTAATTCCGAACATGTTACAGAAGCAATCAGAGTGCCTAGAAGTGAAGTGTTCCTTTCCAGCTCCATCAGTGAGGGTGTTTGCATTTTAAGCCCAGAGTTGCAACACTTAGTCCTGTACTTGTACTTCGTGCATGTTAGGACAAATAAAATGGAGGGAGAGCTGAAAGAGACCATTTGCATCACTTGAGGCCCAGTGGGAGCTGAGGGTCAGGATCACTCTGAGAATTAATCAGTTCACTAGAGAATATGATAATACAAGGAAATGATGGTATTGCAATATGGTTTTCTTTTTTTTAATTGGTAGCAGAAGCTTTAAAAATAAAGAGAGCAAGAGAAAGCCTGGGAGCAGAAGTCGCCTGAAGGGGAAATGACCAAGACCAGCTTAGAAGTGCAGAGAATGGTGGTTCAGGAGTGCTGGTTTGCTGTGTCTTTGTGGGAAACTCCTTTCTATCTTGTGGAGGGGGGAGAAAGCAGTCACAGCCCTATGAAATCTGACTGCTTAATGCTGCTTTGAAAAAAGTGCAACAGTTCTGGGCCTTCTGCTTTTCTTGCGGATTGAGGATTTTAAACAGGGAAAGACGGGCCTGCGGAAAAGTGAGTGTAATCACAAAGCTGAAAGCGGGTCTGGCCTTTCTTGTCATTTTTAACAAGCCAAAACATTGCAGAAATCTGCCCAGGCAAACTTTCGGTCCTGCTGTGCCCCAGTGCAATAATTATAATGCAGAAACAGCTGATGGGTCACGTCTCCAGCCCTGCACAGTGTTATGACTTGCTACCTACATTCCATGTTTAGCTTTGAGCGATCAGATGGTGCAAGCAACGTGAGCTAGCAGCGCCTGAGGACATGCAGCCAGGCAACATGTCCTTTCCCTCTGCAGCTTTGGTTTCTTTTCTCCACTTGTGTCTCATCCTGTCCCCTTAAGGTGATGCATTTTACAATAAAGGCTGCTCTTTGGTGAGGGTCAGCTGCCCTTGCAGGAGCATGTGTGCCATTCCCAGTGTGCTGTTAAGTCCAAGGGCCCAAGGTTTGTAAATATTGTTTCTAAAGTACCTGAGAACTCCAGGTGAGCTGCTTGCCCTACTTACCAGGGACTCTGGAGCTGTGGTTGGTACATGTGGTGGCACATGGTGGCAGACTGCATCAGCATTGTTACTGATGTGACTTAATGAAGCATGAGTTGTGTTGGAGGGATAAATTTTGTCTCTGTGCATAGGGAAAGGGTCATTTATGAATGTTTACAGACAGACAAAAAAGTTGAAAATGATGCTTGTGTAAAGAGCGAGGGAGACAGGGAGGGAAGAGGGATAGGTTGGACTAGTGTTTTGTATTGTGCTTAGCACAGTGCAAAAGGTACACACAGTCCTTGATCTAGGAAAACTGGATAAGTAAGCAGTAAGCATTCATTGTCTGGGACTGCTCTTGCTCTCTTGAACTCCTCCAGGGATGCTATGGGAGAGGTGCAGTGCAGACATTTTGCTTGTTGTAGTTTGTATTATTGTGAACTTACATTCATGTAAATGGGTTTAATTAGAGAACTGAACTTCAGGTTGACTTTTAAATGATAGGAGTGTTCTTTATGGCAGAGGGGTTGCAAGCAAGCTCTGAGCTGGAGAGAAGGGAGCGATGGGGAGCAGGAGGAGGGAGTCAGGAGATGGAGCTGGCTGTGGGTACGTTCCACTGCATCTTTTCATCTTTCACCGGTACTGCAGCACCACGGGAGTAGAGTTACCAACAACATTCTTGCTCAGGTCTCTCATCCCTCACTCAAATAGAGGGTGTAATTTGACGATGTCTCAGCTCCCCTGTGTGAAGGCTGTTGATGCAACTATATGTACATACGTTCTTAAGTAAAAAACAAACCCCAACAAACATAAATCCCAAACCAGATCAGTTCTGTGATCCCGGATCACTGTGGAGTTGTTCAAACACCAGGAGTGGCACAAGGCTGGAGGGGGAACTGTGGCAGGAGCTGTGGGGTGAAGTGAGGACTGCCAGCCTGTCCTGAATGGCAGCCATGGCTTACATCAGGTTGAATCAGTCTGTACACCGCAGGCTGAGGCAAAGCAGAATGGATTAAACCCAGGATTTCAGTTCTAGCCTTCAGTTCCCTTGTGACTGCAATTCTACGTCAGCTTGTGGGGGTGCATGTATTTCTGCATCTCTGCTGCTGTCAAATATGAGAAGAATCTTTTTACAGGGCAGTTCTCGCAGCCAGTATTCACTAAAGTTTTCTTTATTCAGACTGCTGTTCCACAACTTTTACAAATAGGTTGTCAATCTGGATTTTTATCTCCTTCTCCATCCCTATCAGCTGTTATCGGCTGCAAACAGGTTAACAGTGAGGCCTGCCGGGCTGCTTAATGGGTGGCCGCGTGGTGCTGCCTTTGGCTGAGGCAGATCATTTCTATTGGCCAAGGTTATCTCCCTGCTGACCTTGTATCCAGAACTCAGGCTCTGGTGGCACGGTAATTGAGGAGAGCTTCTGAAAGAATTCAGAAAGGGTGGAATATCCTTTCTGCGTTTGTAAAAGCTGTGTTTTATTTTCATCATTGCTCTGAACAAGGAAAGAAAGTGCTCTGATGTTAAGTTTGCAAATTCAGAGAAGGTTATGTTTAAAGGTTCTTTTCTTCTAAAATCTACTATGGTTACTGCCCTATTTTAGCATGGCAAGAGGCTGCTGCACCTTCGTCATCTTAAAAGCCTGCTTTTGCTACTGTACTTTCTCAGTTTGCTCACTGAGCACTGGTAGCTTGCTGTACGTGATACACAGCATCTGATTTCTTCCCAGCTGTAGCCTTTTGTACCAGAATGTCTTTTTCTTGCTTGCAATTGGTTCAGTTTACTGGACTAAATATGTTTTCATGATTTTGGGATGAAGAGGGACTTACGTTAGCTGTGTAATGGAATGAGGCACAGGGATTAATGGGGAGATGGGGAGAGAGGGAGGAGTCTGGTGGGTTTTCTTTTTGATTCTTCCAGAGGCATCAGGCTCCTCCCGTAGCGAGGGAGAGCATAGTACATCGAACCTAAAGACCTTTAAAGTACATGCTGAAATGGATGCTGGGAAGATACAGTACAGTGCTTGGGCACAACTCCAAGGCTCCCAAGGCAAGTAATATTTAAACAAGCTGAACAGCCCCTTTCGGCAAGCAGCAGGAAATCCAGCACTGAGCTTTGTGTTGTTGCATGGTCAGCAGAAGATAAAAGCTCAGGCTATGCAGCTGGGGTTCCCTCCTATCACTGGATGGCAAACTGTTAAGAAAAGATAAAAGGAAAGAAAAGAACAGGGGGTCGTCTAACTGAAAAGCATTCCTTCGTATATTAAGCCGTCGAAGTACTTTGAAATACATTGGGCCTGATGTTAGTCGGAAACAGCACCATCGGCAGCTCTGGTGTGTACTGGAGCTTTTACATCAGTTGGCAAGCAATAGGTGAATTCATCTTTCCGCTTCACCAGAGATAAATGTTTAATGTGGGTACGACTGCGATACGCATAGGTGCCTTGCTGCAAGCCTCACAGCAGGCAGGAGCTTCCCAGAACTTTTTTAGGAGCAGGGTGTGTAATGGTGCGGCTGCTGCTGACTGAGAGTTTGTGCTGAAATGCAACCAACATTCAGCCGTAGGTAGCCTTTCCAGGTCTCCCTTTCTGCAGCTGATCCCCTGGTTAGGAGCCATTTTAACAGTGAGGAAGAGATCTTAAATGAATGAGACTGATTGCTGGTTTGAGTCGTCTAATTATTTACTGTATTCCTCCCCTCTGTCCCTCCTCCCTTTTTCCTGCATCACAGCACTGGTGTCTTGGGAAAGAAAATGCTTCAGAGCATTTGTTACCAATTTAGCAGCAAGTACGTGCTCAAATTTGGGATTCTGAGATCTGTGTGTGCCATATGTAGGCAAAAAGTAATATTTGCTAGTTCCAGTAGAAGGGAACAAACACAAGTTTGCTGTTCTGCAGATAGCGTTTCTTTAATCTAGTGAGACTTACATTTGTGCAGCCTTTTTGTTTTGGTAGGACGGTTAACCGTCCTCCCTAGGGTGCCTAATTTCTTATCATGAACTAATCAGTCCCCTGGGTATATGAAAGAATGGAACACTGCCAAGATAGAGCCTGTGACTTCCCCCAGAGGTGTGATAACCCTCCCAATTACCCCACCCTTCAGGGAGCTCCCTTATTGCTATTTTAAAGTCCTCATTACTTCAGAAATTACCCATGTTTAGAGGTTTTAGGAAGTTCTAAAGGGGTGTATGTGCTGAGAAACCTTTGAATTTTTCAGCTTTCATGTTTTAATGTCAAATCTGTATTGAATAATGTTTCAAGTTTGGTGTGAAATATACTGAACATGGTGCTGCTGCCATTTCTGTTTATGAGAGTGCCTACCTCCATAGCCTTTGTGGCATGCCAGACACTAACAGTTGAGGAAGAGGCCAGTTTCTGTCTTCAGTTGCCAGTAAGGAGGGATGGTGAAATCTTCGAGCTTCAGAAACCCCATTTGAAGTCTAGATGAAGGAATGAGTGAAACAAATCTGGTGGTAATTCTTCTAATTTTTGTTCGAATGATAGTTGCACATTACCATGTGTGAAATGAGTGGGTAGATTAAGAAAAGTTTTCACCTTACACTGAGAAATAATATATTTAGCTGGTGGTTTTCCTTGTTTTTTCCTCTTCATTTCGTATTTTAACTCATTTAAATACATGCTTGTCTGCTCTACAGGTGAGGCGGCTACCTGTTGCTCGAATTCTTCTCTTGATTCTCTTTATATTGAATGGTTGAGCTCCATAAGGCATATAAAACTTTCCACAAAGCAATGATGTCTGAGCTGGAAGTGAAAGATAGCTCCTGCTATTTAGTACCTGAGTGAAAGTATGAGTCCTGTGTAAAGGTTTTCTTTTTTCCTTTCCTTTTGCTCTGAAAGCATAATTCTTTATATGAAGTTTGGAGAATGGGATCTGTCAGCTGGGTAAAAACAGTTTGTTCCTTTAGAGGACTGTAACTTGATCAAAGAGCAATAACAAATTTATCTTTTTTTAATTATTTTTCCTTTTTTTGCGTGTTTTAAAACACTTCAGGTCTTGTTCACCTCTGGTCATAGAGTAGATTCTACATAACCTCAACAAGATGAATGTAAATGTGTATATGTAAAATATATGTGTGTGTGTCTATATATATTGTATGTACTGGTTTAAAACTGTAAAGCAAGGTGGTTTCATTTTTAGGATTAAAAGAAAGTGCCTGTGTGGGTGTGTATGTATATATGACTGAGAAAATGTTCACATGGAAATATCACTCCTCAAAAGAACATGAATTTCAGTATCATAGGTCTGATTATGATACTTCAGTGTTGCTTTGCTATGTGGGCATATATGAAAGTGATTAGTCAAGGTCCCACTGGCAAACTTTTGCTGTCCTGCTGCAGAAACTGAGGTGGGTGTGTGTGGGTACACAGGCCACTTGGTTGGTTTTTTGTTGTCATTCATTTTTCTCTATGCAACTTGCAACTAATGTTTTACTCAGGGTTGTGTTGAACCTATGCATAATTCATACGAGTTTGTTTCAGGCTAACTTTATGGTATATTACATGTCAATGGGAGTCAGCAGAAGGAAATGAGTTTGCCTTTTCAGACATGAATTGTGGGAAGAATTGTCTGTATCATGTGTTTGATGGCAGTGTGTGAAGCGCTAGCACTGGAATTATGTTTTTGGAAGAGGAGGGTGGTTTTGGACTAGCAGCAGACGTTTTTGGATGGAGAATTAGCAACTTGAAACTTCATTTACTGAAGAAACCTGTTCACAATTTTGTCTGTTTTGTTTTTTGTTTTTTGTTTTTTTTTTCCCCAGCGTTCCTGAAATAAACTTCCTGCAATTCTTTGCAGTGTGCAGGTGTCCAGACTCCCCTTTACTCATGGTCGCCTGTGCAGCCCGTCAGGCGACTGAAGGCTGTACCTAAAATTCTGCCGGCAGTGCAGCACACACTGCAATGGTCTTGATATAGTTACGGTGGACACCTTGCACACCTACTGGTTGTAGCATCCCCTCCTAGTCCGAACGACTGAGTGTTGAGTTCCAGGAGTCTACACGTGTGGAGTACTGCCTGGACTAGAAAAAGGAAAGCTGCAGAGATTGTAAGCTGCTGCTTGATCGGTGTGGCTGTTGTGCCGAAGAGCATCAAAACTTTGCTGGATGGATCCGACAGCTCGTTGCAGAGTAGAGGGTCAGTCTCACTGGTTACTTACAGTTATTAACATTAGTGGATTGTAATTTTTTTTGTTGTTTGCTTTGTTTTTATATTTCTCTCTGCGTGCATAAGAGGATTGTGGCCTCACAACAAGAATGCTCATGTTCAGGAAACTTAAGGCTGTTCCTTCTGACAGGCTTTGAAGATCAGCAGGCGTTTCCTCCAGGGTTTACAGCATTGTTGGAGGAGCCAGTCACTGCAGAAATCGTCAGGCCTATCTGCCTGACTTTGGTCATTCCTTACCTTCCCAGCACGTGGATTATGCTGTTTGCAGACTGTCCAAGCCTCCATGATGTCCTCCGTGGTTTCCTTATGAGCTTTTACAAGGCTGGGCCTGTGTACTTTGTAAAATCCTTTAGAAACGCCTGCTAGGCTTTAAAGTCCCAGAGCAAAGGCTATGCTATAAGGAGCATGGAAGGTCAGCAGCTGGATGTGGTTGTGGATGAAGGGGGATTTGTGTGTATGTTTGTGTGTATGCAGTTCTTGTTTTGAAAATACGTCTTTTCTCAAGTCGGATAGAGATACGTCATTTCTGAGGCTTCTTCTGCTCATCTGATAAAGCTGAGGTGCTTCTGAATTCCATGAGAAGCTGCTGAACTGGATCCCTGTGCCCCATCTTTCTGCACGCATGTTGCAGTCTATGAAAACTAACAGATGCTGTTTCATTTTGTGAAGTATGCAGGAAGCACCTCCCACAGGTTAGTTTCACTGTGTGTTCTCCAAAATAGAAAGAAAACTCGTACTGAAGAATACCACAGGCAAGTAGCGTTGCTGTTTAAAATTTTCCTAGTGGCTTTCCTGTGAGGATCTCAACTTGGAGAGGCTTGCCAGCACCATCTGCTGCTGTAATTAATTTACCTAACTAAAACTGAGAACTTTGTATTTCAGAGTTCAGAGCTCTGCGAACAGCCCTGAAGGCTACATTACATGTCCAGCTGGTATAAGCCAGTGGGCATGCTCACGAGACTGATCATCAGTGACAGCTTGATCATCAGTGACGGGAGAGAGACATTTTTCTAAGGTTGAGTTCTCCCTTTACCTAGAGGAAGCAATACATCCCAGTTTGAGTGATTTGTTGTACTCTAGTATCTATAGCAGATAGATAGATATTGCACCAGGTAAAATTAAACTTCTAGTTTGTATCTTGTAACTCTGGTTCAAAATAAGAGGAGAATAGCAACTGATGGTCATATAAGCTGAATATCACATGGAGATGATGTAGATGGTGTTCCTGGTCCTTAGCAGATTGTAGGAGGTGGTTGACTTGAGACCCGTTTGTGCCTCATAAGGTGCAGGCAGGGGTTGGCTTTGGCTTGTGGGTCTGCAGACAGTCTGCCTGGTGTGGAGATACAAGCTAGGAAGAATTGCTATAGGTTACCTTGTTCATGGAAAAGCTGCGTAGCCGCTTTGGATATTGCAGTTGGAGGCTGGCATCACAAGTGCCGGTGGATGGGAGAGTACAGCATGCTTCTGAATCTCTTTGCTCCAGCACACCTGTCTTTCCTCCCTGTGGCATGTGGTTTCCCCTCTTAAAATTTTAAGCTAAAAATAATTAAAAAATCTATTTTGGGGGGTATGTGTGTTTCTGAATGTTTTAGATTGTCTTGATTGTAGATTTTTGTTGCTGTTGTTGTTTGGGGAGTGTGATAGAGGGAATAGTTCCTGTGCTGACCAGAAACAGAAGACAGGAAGGTAATGATGTTAACAAGGTGGGGGAGAAAAGGAGGTGTTTGTTTAGAAAAAGCCTAGTCACTAAAGCCTGTGGAGCAGAGGAACCCTGCTGATAACACAGATGAAATAGTCTGCCTCTCTCCTAACTTTAGAGGAGTGGAGCTTTGTAGTAAATGGCTGCCATGTGGCAGCTGTCTCCCAGCTTCGTGAGCCTGGCAGTAGTTAATCCTGTCAGCAAGTCATGCTCCCTGGAAAACAGCAGTGAGAAAAGCTGCAAACTCTTGAATCATTCTCTCTGCAAAATATTTGCATGTTGAATCTCCTTCGGCTGAAAATGAGTTTGGTAATGTGGTGGAGGTTCTCATCTTTAAGTAGCATTAAAGTGCAGCTGTGCTGGCTTTTAACTAAAACACTAGAAATGTGCCGAGATGCAGCGATTCTTTTCCCTCCTTAAAAAATGAAAAAAGCCATTTCAGTTTTGGAAATTGTATGTTCCAGGGTACAAAACGTGCTGCTTAAAGATGGGACACAGTCTTGCTATTGGAGTGTGGGGGTTTGTGTGTGTGTGTGTGTGTGCGCGCGCGCGTTAAGAAATTACAGGTTGAGCATCTGAGATGATGATTATCCTTAAAAGCTGGAAGCTTTAAAATTAATCTGTTCACTTCCATTTGCTTTTTGTGTTCTGTTGAGCATGGAATGTTTCTGTCTTTTCTCCACAACACTGAAATCTAGACGTTTTAGTTAAAAAAAAAAAAAGAGTTTTAGATTTTTGTGCAGTAATGTAATGCCATCAGATTTTTACAGGGCTTGTGATAAAATCATGGTGGTTGACAACGCTACCACCAGGAAATGAGTTTTAATCCTTGTAATTTCTACTCTTCTCAAGTTGTGCATCATTTTACTACATTATCTTGCAAGGTGTAAAGTGCTTCAGTATGCTACCTGGTACAGGCTACAAGCACAGACTGGTCTGGCACGTCCTGCAAGCACAGGGCAGTTGGGATGTAAAGGATGTGTTGGGGGCTCTGTGGTAAGCGACCCCATGCTCTCCACCTTGGGCTTGCCTATGCAAGGAAATTTGCTAGCATGTGAATGCAGTTACGGTGGTGAAACACCATGTGGGACATAGCTACTCCAAAAGGAGAGTCTTGGTTTGGATTACCCTGTTTCCAGACCTGGTTTTGGAAAACTGCATGTGCATTCAGGCCCTCTGTGGAGCTTTCTCTAAATCCATCCTGGAGGAAGAGTATTGCAATCAGGGTGCCGCACAAGAAACAGGCACTAGCACAGGGGATTTTCTGTATCTTCCTTGGCATGATTTGTCCTGCCTCTCTAATCCCTGCTCAACTCATCCTGCTGCACACACACAGCTCTGGCTGAGTGTGAAGAGCAAGCATGAAGGGGGTGAAGCGTTTCTTGTTTCTCCCACCAGAGACTTGCTTTAAACCTGCACTTCAAGTCCCAGGTCTGAAGCTGCTCTTGGCTGAGCTGCTGGCCATCAGTGCGAGGGACAGGGAAGGGGATGGTGACAGGGACAAGCCCTCCCTTTTTCCCTCCCTCCCTCCCCGACAGCTGCAGGCACCAATTGCCAGCAAGCAGAGCAGCCAGCATGGTTTCGTGGCTTTTCTTCCTATGGTAACTACTGTTCTTCTTGTTTCCGTGATGCTGTGCAGAGGAACAACCGGATGGATTGTATCCTCTTGGGGTGGGTGCCTGGGCATCTGCACAGCCAGTTGGTATGGCACAGAAGCTCCTGTTTTTTCAGTGACACCAGGGGCTATTGATGGCAGGCTGGGACTGTACTGCTGCTGCTGCACAGATGCTTGCTCTTGGCCCACCTTAAAAGGACAAGATATCCCGTGGTTTAGACTGGCCATATATTGTCGGGGCTCTCCGTCACAGCTACCCAGCCTAGCCCAGTGTCCCACTTTGCCCGTCCTGTGCCCGTGCAGCCTCTCCTCCAGGGGAGCCAAAGGATGCTGTAATCCAGCCTATTTGGAGGGGAGGTCGCTTTTCTTCTCTGTTACTCAGAAATGTTTTCCATTTGGCCTTCCCAAGTGCAATCCATCCAGCTCACCCCTCAGGCTCTTGGACAAGTATCTGGTTCCCCCAGTACAGTGCTTGCTTGGCCATGTAGGTGATGGGATGTCAGGCTATAGCTTCCCCCCCTCCAGTGTTTTAAGTCAACTGGGTTTGGCAGGGCAAAGCAAAAATGAAAAAAAAAAAAACAACCTAAAACACCAAACAAACCCAAACCCACAGAGCTACGTTTTAGATTGTTTCCTCATTTTGCATCTCTCATCCCCTCTTGCTGATCTGAGGCAGCAGCACCAGCAGATGAGGTTTTGTGTCTTGGGCTGGGGCTCCCCTTGGGCAGGCATGCCCCCCCTTCCTTGGCTTGTTCCGCAGGGAGACATCCGTGATAGAGATGGCCCTCACTTTGGCTTCCTCTTGTCCCTCTGCTCTGTCCCCTTGTCCTTGGCTCCACCAGGGCCATGCTGTGGTTTTGGCAGGCAGCATGATGCTGCTCGCCTGACCCATTCCCACCTTCCAAGTCACCTCCATCCTGCCTGCCAAGGGAAAAGCCTTCAGGGTCTGCTCCCTCTGGTCCTGGCTTTGTTCCGGGCTCCCACCCTCTCCCACGCTGTGTCCCAGGGCTGTCCCCTTGCCAGGTGGGGAGAAAGCCAGTCCCGGCCCCGGGGAGAGATGTGGCAGCTGTACTGGAGAAGGCCAGTGGGTGTGGGGAGAGACCCCTGGCCATGTCCCAAGGAACTGTGGCCAGTGCCAGCTCAAGGGGGACGCGAAGGGACTTTCTCGGGTCGCCACTTCATCTAAGGCAAATAAACTGGAGTCAAAGCCAAGAAACACATCGACTTCCTGGAACTCTGTGAGCCGTCCGCACAGCTGTCCCTGCTCCCCGAACACATGCAAAGCAGAGCTTATAAGGACAGACAGTATTGCTTTTGTGTCCTCCTCAGCCAGTGGGGAGGGCGCAGGGGAGGGGATGTGCCCAGTAAGACCCAAGGCCCATCCTGTCCTCTCTTGTCACTGCGTTGCCGGGGTGCCCCGTGACGGGGTTGATGCAGGCCCCCTCCACAAAGGCCTCCTGAGAACGGCTGCACAGGCAGGCAAGGGTGGGGATGAAGGGGTGTTTGCAGTTGTCTGCATCGGAAGGAGTGCAGGGATGTCTGCTTACAGCCACTTGTTTTACTCTGCTGTTGCTCTGACTTTAGTTCTTTTGCCTGTCTTAAAGTAGTGCTCCATGGCCCCAGGTTTGTTAAGCTGTCTTCAAATCTCAGAATCCT